CACACACACACACACACACACACACACACACACACACACACACACACCTCTCATGATGACCTATTACTCATGAGCGTAGTGTCACGTGTGTGTCATTTGGATTTGTTTGTGTGTCATCTCTTAACACAACACGCCCTAATCTGTCGAGGTTTTGTTGTATTATAGAGGAAACAGTCTGTTGATTACTGTTGTTTTTATCAAGAACTATAGGTTACTTACTAAATAGATTTTTAGAAAGAAACAATCAAGTATGAGAACATTTCCACCTGATACCAAGTAATAACAGTAACAGGCTAATGGGTACGTTTTAGTCGCAGTAACGTTTGTTACTTTTTAAAAGGTACCCATCACTGTCAGTAAGGCACATATTCAGTGTCAGCAAAATGTTTTATGTATCTCGGCTCTTTTGACAATGTATTTACTAATGATTTTACTGTAGCATATTGATAACACCAGCTTCATTTAATGCAGCACATCTGAAGAAAAGGATCACAGATGTACTGCTACAGTACCCACGATGCTAACATGTAACAGCATGCTAACGTGTTACCATGGAAATGTTTTACTTCAAACGGCTGCTCCGTTTGTGTGGAAACTTTCTCTTATATTGTGAAAATAGATTGTGAAAACGTTTGAGGGCAGAAATAAGCCACACAGATGCTGAATCCGTCCGCATTTAGATCGACAAAGATCGACAAAGATCAGAAATTTGTCAGTTTCCAGTCGGCATTCGCTGGTTTATGGGATAAGTAGTTCTTCCCTCTTTAAATAATTATGTACACGGTCTTGAAGTGTGGCCTTTTTGTCCAATTTTCCTATTTCTTTTTGCTCAAAACTATAGATATATAAGGCTTTTCTGAAACATAGATGGAGTGAATGAATGGGGAAACTCCTGTCTTTAAGGGCTGCTGTACCTTTTCTAAGCCACCACGTGTCACTGTGTTCGCTGCATTGAAGCCCCAGAAGCTTTGAATCTTTTTGCCATTTGTCCCTACTGCTAATGTGAGGCAGCTGTGACACACCGTTCAATCAGCCATGACCCCTCGTGTAAACCCACCACATGACGTCTGTTTGCGTCCCTCAGCCTGCAGACACAGATGAATCTTCAGCTCTGCTTCATCAACAACAGTGAAAGTGAGGAGGAGGAGGAGAGGAAGGAAAGCAGCAACTCACGGGTAACTAGTGCTAACACAAGTTCTGTTGGATGAGCTGAAACGGAGTAACTGGATGTGACTTCTACCCTGCTGATACAGAGAGGGGCTGTTCAGGTCCAGAAGAATCCTCAGCCTCCTGCCAAGCCGGAGAAACCCAAATCCAGAGGCTTCAGGAACACTCTGAGGAACCTACGAGACCGACTGAGAACCGACCACAGAACACTGGTGAGGGCTCCACGCTGTTGCACAGATGCAGCCATGTTTTTCCCTTTTCCTCCCAAATACAGTTCATCACAGCTCTCCTCTCCTCTCTCCTCTCCTATCCTCTCATGTCATCCTCTCCTGCCCTCATCTTCTTCTCCTCTCCTTTCACCCTTATCCCTCTCCTTTCCTTTCATCCTCTCCTACCTTCATCTCCTCCTCCTCCTCCTCTCTTCTCTCCATCATCCTCTCCCCTCTGCTTCTTTCCTTTCATCCTCTTCTCCTCCTCTCTCCTCTCCTTTCATCCTTTCCCCTCTTCTCTCCTCTCCTTTCCTTTCATCCTCTTTCCTTTCCTCTCCTCTCATTCTTCTCTCTTCTCCTCCTCCTCTCCTTTCCTCCTCCTATCTCCTCTCTTCTCCTCTCAGGCTGCAGCTCGTAGTGAACCTGTAGTCCAGAGAAGACATGTGGAGCGCAGTGATTTAGAGAACTTCAGTATGAAGGACCTGAATGCTCTGTGTACGTCTCTCAGCCAGACCATACAAGGTACTCTCCCACACACAGCAAGTATACTCCATGTACATAAAGGTCTGAACCACAGCTCTGACAAACTTGTTGTATTTTTGACCCGTCCATGTCAGACCTGAGCTCAGACCTGGTGGGCCGCCTGCAGGTCCGAGACCAGCTGAGGACGGAGCAGGACGCCATGCTGCTGGAGGTCCAGGACCTGACGTCGCTGTGAAGCCGCTGATCGCTCCGCTGTGGAGCGGTTGTGTCTCGCAGACATTTGATGTTGATTGTTGTGAATCGGACGTTGCCACAGTGGCCTCCACATCTCAGTCAGTCGGTCTGACCAGCCAATCACTGTGAAGAGTGTCCCTGCCTGAAAGGACAAGGACATTCATTTTTACTGTTATTGTCTGTGTTGTGTATTTATAAGGGACATTTAGTCTCACTAAAGGACGGTGTCCATCAGCAGTGGTTTACAACTCATGACAGAACGATGTCAGAGCCGTTTGGTACGCTCAACCCCTGAACCCGAGTTAAACACAACATCCAGGCAGTGGACGGTGACCTGGAAGGAGCACGCTGCCATTCTTCCTCCTAGAGGATCAGTACAAGCTCCATCTGGGTCATGTTTAAAGCTGCTGAGCAGCATCACGTCTTTGGGCTGTTCTGGACACAGAGACATAGCACTGATGCATGTCCGACGTATTTCTCCACACATCCGATTGTTCATTGAAAGGATCCGTCTGGTGTTGATGAAGGCCGGCTTCATTTTCCTCCTCTGCCTCCGTCCTGCTTTCTGACCACTAGTAGCGCTGTGGAGTGATGTTTCCATCAGCTGTCTGTTTCTATCTGTGCTTGTGAGTATGTGATGTTACTACATGTGCTATAATAGCTGCACAATATTCAGCCTTTTCAAAGAGAGCGCAGCTCCAGCACACTTAAGGTGGGCTGAACTGTTAAGGTGGACCAGCGCTATTCTCCTTTATGTGAGTCGCTCCTCTTGAGTTTTGCTCGTTTTTTTATTTTGATTATTTCTTTGAACTGATAGCATGGTTCAAAGGTTAATTATTGACATCCATACTGCAAAGAACTATGCTCTGTTTGTACCAGGAACATATTGAATGTTAAAATGTAAGCAACAAAGTTTTTAGAACTGTAATGGTATTTTTAAGTACTAGTATCGGTAAGTGTAAGTACTTGTACACTTAATCCCAGTCTGTAACGTGCGGGTTATCTTTTGTCAACACAATGCTTCAGTACGTTGTTTCCCATTTTTCCTCAAAGCTTCAAACTGCAATACAAAGGGACTCCTGTTAAGAAGCTGCTCATTCTGTCTTTGTGTAGTTCTGATTTCTGTATTAATATTATTTTGTATTCATGTTTATCCTCGTGTAGCCTTTCTTACGTACAACCAATTAAGCACATTTTAATCTTTTTATTCAATTAGTTAATTTCTTAACATTGTTGGCACAAGTTCTTGATCATTTGCCTTAAACAAACAAACAGCTACTTTGCCTTTTGTTCACTGTTAAACTACCGTCAATAACACTCAACACTTGCTGCTCATACTGTATGTTTCATATGTTAAAGCTTCTAACGGTAAGCGTCGACTTCCATCCACAGCAGCTTAACGGCGAATAACAAAAAAACGGCAAAGATTTAATTCTGTTGAATTAACCATTTGAACTGTTATAGTGCAGTTAATTTCAAAATAGTTTTTGTAATTATTTGATACTCTGAATGTACAGCACACATTTAGCATTCATACAAGGTACCAATATTGTGGATTACGTGTCTGGTATTGTAACTTCCTGAGGGCCTTGAAAGCAGCAGCACGCTGTCGGCTCAGTGTGTCCATCACAGCACACTCAACTTTAGTATTTCAGAGACAGAAATCAATCAATCTGCTTCCTGTCTCATTGGAGTAGTCAGTGTTGACATCTTCATAATGAGCATAGTTGTTTTGTTAACCATGAAGATGAACTCCCTTGTTTCATGTGTGCCTCCACATCCACATGATTAACATGTTAATCAGCTAAGATGGAAGCACAAGAACAGGATCCTGTTTATCTCATTGTTTTATATTAAGAACACGCTAACGTTCAGGAAAGCATGAATCATCTAGACTTAGTTTTCTTGTATTAATCTGTATTGAGAAAAAAAAGTCAATTAACTTGATTATTTGCACACTCTGCAACATACGGCGTTTTTAATGTTGGTGGTGGTTCACCCATTTTGTTTACATTAGATAACAGACTGTGCCTTTAAATGAATAAAGTATTAGTACAGTCCGTTTTCAGAGAGCGACGTGTGTGTGTGTGTGTGTGTGTGTGAGCAGTGTCTACACACAGCGGGTTGATCTGCTGTGTCACCGACCTATAACTCATTCACACTGATGACTCTGTACACTGCATGAGTTTCTAAATGAGTCAATATTTCTGCTCCTCAGTTTAGGAGTTTTAAAATTGGCTGGACACATTTTACATTTATTTTCACAGCTAGCTTTGAGAGTAGCTACATTTTTCATATCTACTGTGTATGATATATATACTTTTTATATATATATATGTGTATGTATATATATAT